CACCCCCCCCCCCCCCACCCCCCCCGCTCGCTCCCCCCTCCCCCCGCTCCCCACCCCCCCCCCCCCCCCACCCCCCCACCCCCGCCCCCCCTCCCCCCCGTCCCCTCCCCCCCCCCCCCCCCGCCCCCCCCCCCCCCCCCCCGCCCCCCACCCGTCCACCTGCACCGACCCCACCCCCCCCCCCCCCCCCCCCCCCCCCCCCTCCCCCCCCCCCTACCCCCCCCCCCCCCCCCCCATTACCCCCTCCCCCCCCCCCCCCCCCACCCACCCCCCCCCGCCACCCAATCCCCCCCCCCCGCCATCCCCCCCGCCGCACCCCCCCCACCCCCCCCCCCCCCCCACCCTCCCCCCCCCCCACCCCCCCCCCTCACCCCCCCTCCCCCCCTCCCCTCCACCCCGCCCACCTCCCCCCCCCCCCTCCCCCCCCCGCCCCACCCCCCTCATCCCCCCCCCCCCCCCCGCCCACCACCCCTCCCCCCCCCCACCGCACGGCCCCCCCCCCACCCCCCCACCCCCCACCCACCACCCCCCACCCCCGCCCCCCCCCCCCCACCCCCCCCCCCCCCCAACGCCCCTCCCCCCCGCCCCCCCCCCACACCCCCCTCCCCCCCCCCCCCCCCCCCCTCCCCCCCCCCCACCCCCCCCCCCCCCCCCCCACCCTCCCCCCCCCCACCCTCCGCCCCCCCCCCCTTCCCCACCCACCCCCCCCCGCGCCCCCCCACCCCACACACCGCCCCCCCCCCGCACCCACCCCCCCCCCCCCCCCCCACACCCCCCCCACTGCCCCCCCCCCCCCCCCCCGCCCGCCCCCACCCCCCCCCCCTCGCCCTCCCCCTACCCCCCCCCCCCCGCTCCCCATCCCCCCCCCACCCCCCTCCCCCCCCGCACCCCGCCCCCGCCCAGCGCCACGCGCCCTCCGCCCCCCCACCACCGCACCCCCCCCGCCCCCCCCCGCCGCCCCGCCTCCCACAGCCCCCCCCGCCCCCCGCCCCCCCCCCTCCCCCCCCGGCACCCCCCCCTCCCCCCCCCCCCCCCCCCCCGGCCTAGGGGCCCCCCCTCCCCGCCCTCCCCCCACCGCGCCCCACCTCGGCTCCGCCCCGCCCCCCGCGCCCCCCCCCCCGCTTTCCTCCCAACCCCCCTCCCCCCACAACGCCTCTCGGCCCCCTACGTCCCACCCCTCCCCCTCCCCCCCCCGCCCCAGTCACACCACCCCTCCCCCCCCCCCCCCCCCTCACCCCCCTCCCCCCCCCCCCCCCCTTCCCCCCCCCCCCCAGCGTCCCCCCGCCCCCCCCCCACCTTTCCCCCCCGCCCCTCGCCCCTCCCCCGCGCACCCCCCCCCCTCCCCCGCTCCGCACCCCCCGCGCGGTTCACAGCGAAAATGTATTCTGCACTTGCGCAGACGCATATGCGCAGTCGTAAATGTCTTGCGCGCACGAGTAAAACGCCTATGCGCATGAGTAAATGCGGCGCATGCGCAGAAAGATTTTAGCTTTGAGGTCCGGATTATAGATCATTCCGGATTATGGGTGTCCGAATTAATGACTTTTGACTGTACTGACTGACTGTGCATGTAAAATTACAGCTTAATTAAATTCGGTATGAAAGATAAAGCTTGACATGCAAAAAGACCAGTTGACATTTGTGATTATGTTTATAAGTAATTTGGAACTACATGTGTGTCAGGTAAAAAGAATGTGTTGGTACAGGAGACTAAAGTCTCTGTTAACAGGATCCCAATGAACGTGGTCAATATAATGACCATGGTGTTTGTAATTAAAGAATGTAGCTATATGTAGTATATTAGCATCCCCTTTTCATAATAAGTCTTCTTTACATGCAAAGTTTTCTTTTTGCACGTTTTGCAAATGGAAAGGTGATCTGTCAAAATCCGGAAAGCAGAAGATATGAGAAACCCTGTCTTTTTAAGCATTTTAAAAGATCTTGGAGGTTTGGAGCAATAGGATAAAATTTAATTCCATAGGAAACAAAACAGGATGCATGTAATGAAGATCAAACTTAGTTTTAAAATTCCAAAATTTCATATATGTCATAAAAAACATTATCTTTTTACAGATATAACTAGTTAAAACTAAATTTAAAGTGAAGTTATTCCCATCATCCATATTTCAAGTGCCTATTTGTTACATGTAGCTGTTGAACAACAAGGCTCTATGTAATGGCTATCTGGAATATCCAGGAAAAGGTCCTATTTGTAGTAGGATTTTCAGAATAACAGCTGACCAGCAGCCAAGCAGTGAATGCTGATAGTTCAGTCCGAGGTCCGAATCCCACTAATGGGCTGGCAGCATGGATGTTTCCATGGTCTTCCCTATGTGTAATGTATATACGAGCCAGTTACCCTTGAAAGTCCTCCATGAAGACATCCCTCCCCTTAGGCAGATAGCCCTTGAGGCTTTTCCATAATCACATAAACCAAACCAACTTTCAGAATGACTAAGCATTTTAGTAAATGCTATGAATAGTAGCATAGACAGTCATATAATTATTTCAACATTTTCCAGCAAGAAATTTATGATCTTTATTTTTGGGTAACAGTCATTTAGGATTACCTCATTATTTAATCCTAACCAAGCTATTTCTTGATATGTACTAAAATTTCTACACTTTATAAATTTAAATTTCTGCAGTGATATTTATATACTTTCAGTTGAGAGATTAATGGAATATTTTTCCTAAAGATTCCACATTAACTTTTCTCATCATCGATCATTAAAGGAACTAATATACATATATTTATGTCTAATAAAATTTAGCAGTGTTTCAATATCATATCTCATAATTTAATGTTATATTTTTATAGTCATTTTAAAGTAATGCAATTAAGTAATAGATACTACTTAGAATTTTGCAGTGAGAATAAAAGTTAAGTGAGATTGAAATGTATGTTCCTGCTATTGTTCATTGTTCTGTTATTATACCATATAAGAAAGTTATTGAAACTTCTGTAATACAGAAGACTGTAAATACTAGTAATCAAATCAAAGTACTGCATAATATTCTACAAAAAATAATAAATGCTCAAATTTGAGTTAATTTATTTCTTTGCTAAATTTCCTTCATAAGATATCTCTTTGCATTAATATTCATTTTATGAATTTATTACCATTTACTTATTTCAAATCTTTTTCATTAATGATAGCTTCTTTACCTTAATCAATGTATTGATGACGTAATGTATTTTTCATTTATATGTTTTTCAAAAATATATGAGCCTCAGTTATAAATTTTTAGGCAGCTTATCTATGTTAGGTATAAGAGTAATTCAATATTAGTAAATAGTACATTACTAGTTATAAAAATCAAGTGATAAACTTTTCTAGTGTGAGTAGCTTGTTTACTGCCAACGCCTGAAATTCGCGGATCCTCTTTTCAGGGGACTCCTGGATTGTTCAGGTGTTGGTAGATGGTATTTGCATCCATTAAAGATGCAGATGGCTTTCTCGATTTTTGATGACAGGCTTTTCATGTTCAGTATTGAAGCAAGCTATCATTTTCTATTAAAAATGCCATTTATATTTATCACCAAAGAAATTTTTTGCCAAAAGTAGCTGAACTTTAACTGATGATTAAACCTGTGCTGTCTCAAGAAAGCAAGTTGCAGTAATTGGAATTTTGGTGCTCATCCGTAAACCAGGCACCAGCCAGGATATGCGGAAATATAATCCTTGATAACAACTTTAAACTGCGAATCACGCCAAATTTTGTGACTCAATATATTTTTATCCAGCCATGTTTTTTAATGTAAGGCTTGATGAAGGAACTGAGACTTATTTTACGATTTATCAGTTGCGAAATAGTAGAGTCCGTCATTAAAAATTCTTTCATGAAATTGAAATATTCACTATGAAAGACTTTTTTCAAATAAGCATAATTATGTTTTCAAGCAATGATGCATCTTCAATGCATTGTTACAGTTGCCATTATTGTTTTGGGCTTTCGCAGCAACCTTTATTTTTGTCGCCGTCTGCAGCTTAATTATTGGAAAAATATGAGAATTTTTAGCTTTTATTACAACTAGAGTTTAATTTGATATTTTTTCATTGCAAACTGGTGAATTTTAAATAAACTATTGATTTTTCATGTAAATATGGTGAAAATATGAATTTAGAACACCAAAGCAGTATGACTGTATAATTTGAGGAGGGGCAGCTTAAACTGGAATATGCTACATTCTTAAACTAAGCTACTGTAAACATTTGCTGTAGTGTAGAAAACAATTTTTAAGTTTTTAATTCTTATTTTTCTTTTTATATAAAATTAAAATATGTTTATTATATAATTCTCTATAAAAGAATCATAAAGTTGTTATTTCTTCTTAGAACAAACAACTTTTTTACTTTATGTTTGTTCTTATGAGCTTTTCTTATTCATCTTTATTTATTTTTTTTTTTTTTTTTTTGTCCTTATATTAGCCTAAACCTAATAATTTTTCCTATATGGCTAACGCTAATAAAATTCCAAAATCTGCAGTTTTCAGGTTCCGGGTTATGCAGATTTAAAATCGTTTATTATATCATAGAAGTAACAGTTCATAGTGCAGTTATTTTACTTGCAGGTGAATATGAATAAAAATTATGCACATAGTATAAATATTGCAAGTTAATTTTTGCACTTAGAAGTAAAATCTCATAAACTGTAAGCCAACCAGTAGCCGATTAGTTAAAGTCACAAAATATTGCCATTTCCTCGGGTTTTTTTACCAGGAGTTGGCTGTCTTAAATTTTTATAGTTTTTCCTATATGCACTCTAACTATGGGTAAGTCTCCCCTAGAAAGCTCTCTGCAAAAGCATCTCATCCATTAAGTTCATAACCATCGAGTAAATATATAATCCAAACCGATCATCTTAGATGAGTCTTATTTACTTTGCTTTATATACTTACGTTGATACAACATATTTTATGTTTGTATTACATTTGCTCTTACGTGTCGTTATTTCGGTTGAAGTCATTTAAATGTTGTTTTAACTTAAATTTTCAGGCTCTATGCATTCTCACTGAAGATGAAGTTTCCCTGCAGTGCACATTTGCGTTAACAGAGATAAAGTGTAAAAAATCTGAAAGTGATTTGAGCACTCTTGTAATCATTCCAAGTAATCTGTGCAAGAAGCAACTATTTCTGGTAATTATTATTTTTTGATAATGTTGTAGTTTGTTCTATATTTATATTTTATGAGTTTTCAACAAAATCAGCAAAACTATCTCTGATGTAACTTAGAAAAAATATACAACACTATTCCTTTGAAAAGATATTTAACCACTGTGTACATCTTTTCCGGAGGCTCTTGAATGGACACTTTTTCAATTTAGAAAGGATTCATCAACAATTCTCATATTTTCCCTAGAAGGTAATGATACTGATATCAGTAGTGCATCCTGAATTTTCTTAAAGGGCCATTCTGTTTGACATCAGATTTTTAAAAATCATACAAATGAATGATAATTAGCATAACACATGATCAAAAGTTTGCTGTAATATTTCCCTATTAATGTTGATGAAATATTCCATAGCATATAAAAGAATGAAATGGACATAATAAAAATTTCAAATTCACGAGTTTGTTTTAAGATCCAAAGTGTGTATAAAATTATAAAATCTATTAAGATTTATAGTTTGTATCAGAAAGTCACAGTTCAGTTTTGCTTTATATTGCATTTTCAGATAATATGTAAATCAGTTATTCATATGTCTTGAAACTAAAAAAGATTATTCCACTATACAGCTGATTAACAGAGATGCTTAATTAAAGTTTTACTCGTAATGTTACAAATACTGCTGGTGTTTGTAACATTATGACTCTGAATGCATGAGTTAATACTGCATAGTATTAATTCATGCAAATTTTTTTCTTAATAAAATTTGACATCATTTAAAAATTTTGCAAAAATCTCTGAAATAGCACCGTAGTTAGATCTACAAATTTTCAGTTTCTTGTTTCTTTGATTGATCAGTAAAGGTTTTTAACTTTATGTACTTATAAATCAGTAAAAGCATTTGATTTTTTTTTCTGTGTGTGTTTTGCTTTATATTCAATAATTTAAATGCTTATGAAAAACATATTCAAGCCACAGTTTTTTAACAAAGCTTCAATCAGTACATTTCTGAACTTTAAATTATTCATATAAAAATACATTTGATGCTACACTCTCAGAAAGAAAGCTGTTAAGATTAATTATTAATTTCCTACAAATTAAACAACCCCCCTCCCAAAAAAAAGAAAGAAAGAAAGAAAGCAAATTTTTAATCACCAAAATACAAAATTTTTGTCAAGATTCATCAAAGTTTCTGAATCCTTTTCTTTTAATAGCCATAGTGCAAGAAAATACTTGCTCAGAATTTCCGCTTGCAAAAATTAAAGAGACACTGGGTCACTTATTTAATTCAAATCCAAGTCTTATTTGGAGATATAAACAGTGACATAAATAGGAGGTATGTGGCTGCATAGTGGCCTGAAGAATTAGGGAGTCCATTGCATATTCTTCTGAATTAGATATCCATGTTTAAGCTTGAAATTTAAAAAGAAGATATAAATTGACTTGATTTTTATATAATCGTAAACATAGGATGGTGATGAAACTAGCCAAAAACATCAACTGAAAGCAAACAGGAATAAAAAATGAATAATGCTGCATATATTCTCCGAGGTGACTGTTCTGAAAGTGAAGTTCTTTAGTGAAGAGGATCATTAGTGACATTATGCATTAGTTGTAAACTGGCCTTTTTTGATAGCTGACTTCCAAATGGCTTTGAGGCAAGTGCTTGAGATGGGTTACAAAAATGGTGGGATGGGCCACCAGGATCTTCTGTAATTTCTTAACTCTCACTGTGAGTGTATCCAGTAAATTTTTAGCACTTTTAGTTGTTAAATTGAAAAATATGCATGTGAATTGTAAAACAACTTTTTGGCATATCATTGTGATAAAGTTATAAACTAAAGAATGTTACACATTATAAAGTCATGAAGGAGAGTGTCAATGAATGACATTAAAGGGAAAAGAAATCAGTGTTTAATTATTCTAAATTATTTTTAACCAATCCCTGAAAAAAAAAGGCTAAAAAAGATGGCAAAAATATGAAAATTAAAAGCTGAATATCTGTGCCAGTTTTTGTCATATGGGAGGTCACGCTTTTCATGTTTTATTTACTTTAAGTACAGGGTGGTACTAAAAAAACTTCCTTGATATATGAACCCCTAGTGATCTATTCAATAAACCAGTCGGAATGAAATTTCAGGTATTATTATTTGAAAGTACGCACTCTAAATTGTGATGATTTAAAACAATAGAGCATTGTAGAGAACCAATGACAACACAAAGAGGAGTTGCATTGACACACTTTGCTTGATTTATATAGATAGACAGTAGAAGCACCAACCACAGAACAACATGTGCAAAGCATTGCAGGTGGAAAATCTTTAATAAGCAGTGTGAGAAGATTGTTTCTTCAGTCAGGTGATTAGCAACATTATTGCTAAACTGCATTGCAGGAAACCCTCAGCAGAGACAAAATTTCTAATAAAATTCTCAAACACCTTGCTGATAAATTATATCTCTAAAGTTTGTAGCATCTTTAATACTTGTGTCTATCTTTCCAATATTCCAACAACATAGAAGCATGCTACCATCATACCGATTCTCAAGGTAGGAAAAGACCTTACTCTCATCAAAAATTATCGACCGATCAGCCTATTCCTGTCACTCGGAAAGAGAGTCTTGTTCTCGAAAGAGTCTTGTATAAACGCACAGATCCTGCACTGAATTCGCTATCTAGTCAGCAGTTTGGGTTCCTCAGAGGTCTATCAACCACAATGTAACTGGTTCGAATTGTCAAGTTTATCAGTGCAGCTATTCACAGGCACCAAACTACTGCATTTCTTATGCTGGATGTGGCCAAAGCCTTTGACCGCGTTTGGCACAAAGCTCACATCTATAAACTCATTCCCTCTCAATCTATCCTGTGAAATGATCTTCCTCATCTAGTCTTTATTATATTATATTTATTTGTTTATCTGAAATAGAACTTTCAGTGTCAGACAAGGTAATTTCTGTTCCACAAGTAGAAAGATCAATGCTGGTTTCCCCCAGGGCTCAATTTTCTATCTAATTTACGTTATGGACTTCCCTATGTTGGGAGAAACTAACAACTACATTACTGCATATTACGCTGATAATAAGCGATTCTCTTGTGCTCACTGAACCCGAGTTTCGGCTTAAAATGTATTCAAGATAGCCTTCATGAGGTAGAAAATTGGTGCTGAAAATAGAGAACTTTTATTAATGCCTCTAAATTTCAGCTTTTACTCATTCACCATCATTGCAGAAGGAATGTTGAAAATGACATAATCTTGTTCAGTGAAAAAGTGCCTAAGGTCACCGAGGCGACCTACCTAGGAGTGCATTTCAACTCTACACTCACATGGAATCTGCATGTTTCTATTGCTATTGGCAAAGTAGCAGGAGTCTCTCATAAACTCAACAATTCTTAACTTATCTACAACATCGGACCTTGCTAGGGAAAAACGAATCTACACTAATATTCTCCATCCCATTCTAATGTACACTTCCCCTGCCTGGTGCACATCCTCTAAAATAGACTTCATTAAATAGCAAACCTTTCAAAACAACTTCCTGCAAAAAATCATGGGGGCTCTCTGGTTTATTCATAACAAAGACCTGCACAAGGATCTTGAAGACAATAAGAGTTTCATCGTCACGCTCAACAACAAATTCTTCAACAAAGCAATTTGAACATACACAGTTACGCAGACAACTTCAGGTATCAATTGTTTGAAATCTATTTCAATCTTAGACCATATGCTGCTCACCTACTAACTCATGATATTTAAATATTCAATTTTCCTTCACTCATAATATTTACACAGGCACTGTTTTATCTTACATGCATTTCCAACTATAGGGATTCTTATTGGTGGAATATTTATATGTGATTCCCCTAAGCGGGGTTATCTGAGGTACTGGTAATGGCATGATGCAGTTCATACTGATGCCAGTATAAATGAAAATACTGAAGCATGTTTTTTCAATCAGGTGTTTGAACATGCTAACAAGATGGCACTTACAGAGAAACAAGGAGGTGAAGTGATAAAGCTGTTGGAGTTGGAACTGGTTTTCCTATACAACTGAACTGCCTGATCTGGTTTTTCCCATACAATGTCTTGAAGCAGTGAAGCACCTCTCTTAGTTACCAAAACATTCAGTGGCTTGCCATAAAGATCAAAATGTTTTGACAAGTTCTGATGTAAACATTTTGTAATTAAGTCGTAAATATAAGTATACATGGATATATTTTCTTTTACTACAATATTTCAGAGTCCAAAGTATGTGAAAGAATAAAAAAAAAAAAAAAAAAAAAAAAAATTCATTCTGCACAGAATTAAAGGCTATACTTTTCCCAGAACAGTTTTAATTTGAATGAAATGTTTTCACAAGTTTTTGCTAATTATATTTTAAAAAAACTTTAAAGTAATTCGATTTTATTTGGTTAATGATTACAAAAATAAAAATCAAAGTTTATCTTAATATTAAAATTATGCATTACTTCTTTTCTATTTACAGAGCTTCTTTATAAAATACTTTCTCAAATATGAGATGATTTTCAACTTCAGAGGCATCTTTTAAATTAATGTCACAGTCACTCTATAATTAATGCTCTCTTAGCTTCATTTCGAATTAGAGCACCTTTTATTTTAACAGTGAAATACGTTAAATATTGCTAATATAATTTCTGATTTCCATTTACTTAAACTTTCTGTGAGTATTTCTGAAAAGGTTTGCTAATATTATGTAAAATTTGCTACTGAATTATTATAAAATGTAAGGAAATAATTCTTTTAATACTTATGAAAAACATTTTACACTTGATTTCAAGAAATGCAGTCTGAAAGTTCTAATTAAATTCTTCCTTAAGTACGAATCTCATAGACTGCTTTACAACACCTTTTAACAGATTATTTATATTATTATATACTTGCTTAAATAGTTTTATAAATATATTTATTAACAGAACTTCAATTTATGTTTACAATTTAATGTTCAGGTTATTATATATTTAAATAATATTTATAATCATTATAAATTTGTATGTATTTAACAGCTAGATCTGTTCACACTAACATTCACATAAATGTGTATATCCTTCATTTCCAAATAGATTTATCAATAACTAGCTGCTATGCGGCCAGCCTTCGTCTGGCTTTTAAATGGGCCGGAAAACAAACGTCCTCTCGACAAGCATCCTCTCAACAAATGTTGTGTCCAAGTACCTCTGAACAAACATCCAGAGTCCAAGAGAAATATTAAATTTAAAAACTGCATAGAATTATTGCCCTCATTTTTCTGAATGGCATTGGTGGTGATATCAGCAACAATGGCACGCAGCCATTGTTGCTGATATAATAAGATTTGATGTGATTTCATCAAAAAACATTAAAAAAACCTCATTTGAATTTTGAAAAAAAAATTGCTTCAAGGTGCACTGGCTCTTGTCTAAATGCAGCTATGTACCAAATTTCGTAGCCCTGGGTCTATTAGCTTACGCACATCACGAACAAAAGACACACACACAGACAGACAGATTCTTCCTTTTTTTATTATATTTAGAGATTTAATAAATATTTGCATATTTTGTTAAAGGTAAGTGGATGCTTTTTACGTGGATATGCATTTAATATTTTTTAGTTTCGGCATGTGCAAATCTTAATTTCTGTGCATTCACTATATTTTTCAAATAAAGTAATTTATAATTATTTTTCATATATCGACTTTTTACATAAGAAATGTGCATAAATATCAACTGAATTAAAATTACGTGCATTATTTTTAATATGCACTCAAAAGTCAGATTTCCTTCACAGTTTCTCCATGATGGCATCTCGTCTCTTAGGCAGATAGCTCTTGCATGCTTTACCTTATTTAAAAAACTCGACCTGACCTATGTGCCTAATTACAAATATTTATGCATAATTTTATATTTACATTTAGACATCAAGCTTCAAACTTTTGACTTACATCACGTTTTTAGATCCATTCATTATCAAATTCAAATTTTCTAGTAAACATATTTTGGCAGACCATTCAATACCTTAGAATTTTATCCAGTTTAATAGTTCTCTGATAGTATAATAAATAACAGCTATCCCTTTTACATTTAAACATTAACTTCATTGTCATAAATCGCAATCTTAACTGCTTTACTCAGCATACTAACTTTATTTTTGAAGCAGTTAAAATAACTAATTGATCTAAATTCACAAATATCCAAAATTTACATATTGCAAAGTAATCTAAAATGTAACAATATGTAAAATGTATTGATATACTGGTTAATAATATTGACATCGGCCTATTCTGAAATTCCTAATAAGCTGTCATGATAATGTGACAGATTTGCATGCTCACAACACCTTGACTGCACATGGCACTTCTGCCAAATAGGCAAATATTTCTGTATACAATGTTACACAAATATATGGTTACAAATGAAGGAAAAATTAACTTATTAGCATACCTGTCTTTATTAATTTTAACAAGGATTACAAGATTTGGAGGTAATTTCATTTTTCAATTAAGATATATAAATCCAAAGTGTTTATTTTTCAATGATGTAAAAATTAAATGATGAGTTTAAAATGAGGAACTATTATGCCGCTCCTCTAAAAATGTTTAAAAAGTGCATATTAAAGTATTATATGGATGATGAAAAATGTATTTTATTTAAACATTTTGATCTTTGGAACATGAAAAAAAAGTAGCCAAATGCACTAACAAAGACATTGAAAGAAGTATAGAGAGTTTTAGGCTAATGCCAGTTAGTTATAAAGAAATTGAGCTTTAAATATTTTAAAAATATTTTGACATTTTAAAGATACCTTAAGGTATTTATCATTTTTTATACATAACATAAACATATTACCAAAACCTATATTTTTGTCATCCAGTAGCTTAAAGAATTTCATAAAACGAATTCATAGTCAAAATCGCTGTTGTAAGTAATAAAAAAATAACTATGGTGTGATATTTGCATAAATGCCACTAAACTATACAAATTGTTATTACCCATCCAGCAATGAGTGTTTCTTTTATGCAGAAGTGTCCCAGCTTTTTGATTTGTGTGGAACTGTCATGGGTGGAAATACCACCATATTACTGTCAACATGCCTTGGATGTAAACAAAAATCGCACCCACTTCGGCTACCAAAGTTCGGCAGCACTGCATCAGGCATAGTGTGGGGATGGCATCTTCTTTTATTCTTACCTCCATGGTTTTATTTCATTGGGGAAAAATGCAGCTGAAGAAGTGCTTGTTTATTGGCAAAATCATAAGCTTATGCAAGGCCTATGTTCCTTAACAAATGTGCGTGATTTGGTAAAACAAATTGCAGAAATTAGATGCACATATCATTGACTGTGATCCATACAAGCATGTTTTCTTGTTGAAGTTGTTGAGGAAATGCATAATATGATTATGGCGAGTTTGTTGCATACTGCAAGAAGTGTTGCTCCCAGTTTGTATGTATCGAAAACCCACAGTCCTCAAGCTTCTGTGCTCTGTTCTGCGGATATTTCCTTGTCAATTCTAGCATGTCCAGATATTGCAGCCTGGACACAAGCAACAGCATATCGATATTGTGAATTATTTCCTCATCGGATATGATGAAGGGAGCAGGTGGCCACTGTGGATATCATGGATGGATGAGGTGCTTTTTTTCTTTAACTGGGAATGTAAACTCCAAGAACTGCATTCATTGGATTGATAAAAGTCCTCACAATGTGGCATTTACATGAAGCTAAAATGACTGTATGGTGCAGCATCGCAAGCGCATTCGTTTTTAGGCCATACTTCTTCGAATAGGTCACTTCCACAGGTACAAACTTGCTCCGTCCCAAGTACTTAGTATACAACAATGTTGCAGAATTATGTAATTCCAGAATTGCAAACGCAAAATTTCATTAATGGCATTGTATGGGTGCAAGTTGGTGCTACTCCGCACTTCACCACATGTGTTTGGCAAGTGCTGCAAGAGCAATTTGGAGATAGAGTCATCTGCCACAACTTTGCAGTTTCGTGGCCACCGCGATCCTCCGACTTCACTACTACGGATTTTTGGTTCTGGAATTATCTGAAAGCTAAGGTATATAAATCAAATCCGTGAGATTTATCAGAATTGAAAGATACCATAAAACGAGAAGTTACACAGGTTCCTCCTGCGGTATTATGTTCGCCATTGTTGTCAACAATCTCCAGCATGCAAAGCGTAATCATTTGCGAAGGTGGGCTCATTGAAAACCTGTAATTCCAAATGTGTTAAGTCTTATAATATTGTTGACAATGTTTTAAACTACTGCTTCTGAGGAGTTTTCTGTTCATTAACTAAGTTTTCATCGGAACTCAAGACAATGTTTCCTTTCCTACAATGCATTCCAACTGCAGGTGGATTATGTGTAAATTTATTGTTTATGTGGAATGTGTGTTTAAAAAATTGTCATAATAATAATTTTAGCTGATGAGGCAACTTTTTAAGACATTAATTTAACTTTTCAGGTACATTCATCCATCAATGGAGTTCCAGTAAGGTTTTTTCCCATGCTTTCGAAAATCAAAATTACATATTACTAAAATTTTGAATTCATTACTGTATTTGTGCTCTTTTTTTTCCTTTGGTTGTTTATATTGATGTTTGGCTGCTTTTCTTGAAATTATAATTGTTTTATCCAATGCCTGTTAAGAGACTTGCCTCCAGTTGATCCTCTTTAAAGGATTTAGATGTACTGATTTAAGTTACGAAGGTCTCAAAGAATCCTGTATTGTTATTTTTCATCACTACCTCCCTGTTCTGGGAGTGGGTAATTTGCACTCCTGCTGCCTTCGATGGATGTGGTAGCTGTTTCTCAGGCTCCCTCTCTGAAATCGAACCCAGATTCCCCATCACTTGTTATGATCATGGTAGTCACATAACCTACCATTGACAGTTGATAAGTCAGACACTTGAAATATATGTCACTGGGCGATGAGCCCAAAGTTATACAGAATCACCACAAAATGCAGGCACGAGGTGTGATTGGCTTTGGTTTAATAAAAGTAACCCCTGTGTTGCTTCATATTGTGAATGCTTTAAGGAAGAGTTGTTTTAATGTATATTGCAAGTGTAAGAATAATTATTTTCATGTTTTCAACTTTTACTTTGTACGTTCCCTCTTGTGTAACATGAATATGAGCCAGTTTTCCTTAGAAAGTGCTTCATAAAGGTATTCCTTCCTTTAAGCTGGTAGCCCTCATATCTTCATATAACCTAACCTTCACTTAGAAATTACATTGAAATTTCAGAAATGGAGCTCTGGACACTTCTTATTTTCTATGATGGTAATTACTTGCACAATACTCAAATTTATTAACTGATTCTATAAGGAGGTTAGTTTAATTTACTTTGAATTAAATTTTTGAGTTAATTGCTATGAGAAGCTTAGTTGTTTCCATTGAAAGCTTTGTGTGATGCTGCTTTTGTGTTCATAATTGATCTTAGATGGTAAATTTTGGTGGTTTCTTTCTCAGGCAGTTGATATAAAAATCCTGCATACTCGTTATAATTTTCATCATAATGTTCAAATTTATACCCTGTAACATGCAAACTATAAATATTATAATCTGTAGAGTTCAAATTTAGTTGCATTTAATCCAAATACATTGAACAAAGATTGATAATTTTTAATTTCAGTTAAATACTAGAATACAAATATCTGAGTTTGTGAATTATTGTATCAATAACATCACCCCAAAATTATCTGCATAATTATATTATGAAGTTTGTTATGGGTCACTGATATCTGCTATATAATGTACTCCATCATATAATTTTTTTATATTTTAATGATAACACAAGTATGCAATCACACTATAATGAAGTGTGACTGCGTATGTCAGAATTTTACCTCTGAGGGCTTTTGGGTGTAGTCTTTTGTGAAGCTTGGAAAACTGAATCACATGACTCACTTTCTAAGACACAGATATTGAAAGCAAACTAAAGTGCTCTTAAAATGTATTTTCTTCTTAAATGCAAGATGTCTCTGTAGTAGTAATTTTTGTAGATATTGTAGTTAACATGTAAATAAAAGTGGTTTCAAAGATTAAATTCATTATGAGTAGATATTTTTAGAACAGTGTGCTGCAAATAATCGTTAATTAGCTCATGCATCTTCTGTATCGTGCTTTTACATTGTATTCAGATATGTTAAATGTCTTGCTTTTGAAAAAGTTCATTCATTTCATTTTTAATAATATAAGGGGGAAGGATATAACTCTAAATGTTGCACTGAGTTGTAGTCTTTTCTGATATTAATTTGAATTCCTTCAATAGGATTCTTGTGATGCTGTTGATAGAGTTGCAGAGTATGTGAAAAGAAATCGGCTGGACTCTTCAGAGGCTATTGAAAATTTGCCAGAGAGTACCTCTGATCCTTTAATTAATTCTAGTTCATCTTGTCATGTTTTCTTCTTGTACCCAAGGGATCGAAGTTTATTTCTTACTCTTTTTTCATATGCAAAGAACAAAGCAATGGGTAAAGGATTCTGTACAGATTACTAAGTTTTTTTTAATGAAAAATAAAGTGCTACAAAGTTTTTATTGATAATGTAAAATCTGCTAAAGAGTGTCTTTGTGTGTGTATTATTTAAGTATAATTTTTATAACATATTAACCATTTTTCATATCCAGACTACCAAAATTCTTGAAAATACTGATATTACATAATTTAAATTATAATAAAATGAGAACTTCTTAATGTAATGCTATTTTTTCATTAATAACTGATTGATATTGACTTATAATTGATTGGCATGATATGTGAAATACGTCATTAAAAATTTAGAAACAAATTTTTCATTTACAGACAATAATTAAAAACTATATAGATATTTTTTTTGTTGTTGTTGTTTATTAATAAGATGATCATGAGCTATTTGTTCATTACAAATTTCAGTTTATGTACAAAATCGTAAGTACCTCTGTCTCTGCACTCTGAATATATTTCTGTTATGTAATATCTCTTGATGTGATATTTTAATTAAGGACTTAAAAGCATTATTAAAATAATGAATTGTTCAAAACAAAATAACAAGGCTTTTTAAAAGACTTCTTGAGTAATTCTAAAAGGCACTACCACTTGAAGCTGAAAAGCATGTTCTTCCATGTTATATGTTTTTTTTTTTTTTTTTATAAAAATTAAATTTTTTTAAAAAATATAAAAAATAAAGCTTCAAATTTATTTTTATTCATTGATAATCTAAAAATCTAAAATGTCTTGTTATTTTTGTTATTATTTATAATTAAAATAATTTTTTTATATTAATTACCCATTTTCATTATTTTTCTTAATGTATGAAATAGATATTACTATTTGTTTTAAATTTAAGATTTTAAAACAAAAAACTTTTAACTGTAATGCTAATTTATTTCATTAAACGATTTATGACCTTTATAAGCTTGCATGATTTTTATGTGAAATGGTAATTATGAATTTAAGATAAAATTTATTTCAGTTAAACATATTCTATTATCTAATTTTTCTTTTGGTTTTTGTTCATAATAAATTATATGATAATTTTTCATATAATACAATTCAGTTTTATTAAAATCGTAAGTTCTGTTCTTATATCTGAATAATTTTGTGATGTAAATTCTCAGTGATTTATTAAACTCCTATTTTTTATTTTCTTTCAAAATTAAAGCAATTATAAAATAAAAGCAAAATAAAAAAATCAAAGGTTTTTTTTTTTTAAAAAGTTCACTTCTTGAGAATAATTCTAAAAAGTGAACTGAAAAAGCATGTTCATTTCAATGTTATATGTTTTTTTTTTTTTTTAATTATAAGTATTGCAAAATAAAAATGGCGGTAAATAAATTTATGTTAAATAATGTACTATTTTCTTCAAAATCCTTAAATATTCTAAATTATTAAAATAGTTGAAGTTTATTTGGAAATATTATTTTCCTTCATGATTTGTTTATAATAATTTAAAACTCATTTAATTCTTTTTTACTAATTTGTCTCTTGCAAGTTACTTACTTTTACACATAAATTTTTTTTTAAACACTTAAAAGGCAAAAAAGAAAATTATATTTTATGAATCTCCATTAAAATATTTCAGCTATTATATTATAATAAAAATTGTCTTTAGATTATAGCTGTAATGCTCGTGATGATTTCCATATAATATACAATTATTTAATCGTTTCTATTGCTTTATGAAGTATGAATTACAGTAATCAAAGGTGATTGTAATTCATTATTCAGTTTCTGTTAACAGAGTGAATATCAATACAATTCAGATTTTTGACATAAAAGCCAGTTATGGTTAATTCTTAAATGATAACAACTGGACAGTTTTAGCCAAAATTATTAAGTAATTGTTGAAAGCATATTTCAAAACCTATCATTATGGAAGTATTTTTGGTTCGTTCTTTGCAAGTGCTATTATTTTAATTAGTTTAAGATTTTGGAATTTTCTGAAAAATGTTTTATTGGCTGTCTTAACATTTAGGAAAAGTTTAATGAATCTATGAGAATAAGAATTTTGATGGATTTAATATATTCAGTTTAACCACTTAATAAATGATTTTTTTTTTCATTCAATAGAATTTTTTAATAACTTGAAATATTCTATACTTGAATATTATCTTGGTAAAATTTTGTGTTTTTTTAATTTTTTTATTTCTTTTTATTTTTGATATTAGATAACATCTTAGATTTAATGTGCTTTTTTGTGTATACTTGTTTTATTTATTTTAATGTGATTTTTGATTTTGATAGATAGTTTTTTTTTAGATTTTTTTGATGGATTTCAATTAAAAAAAAAAAAAAAAAAGAGGAAGAAGAAAAAATTGTCCAGTGAAGTCAGATTTTTTCAGTTTTATTGTGATAATTTTTATGTTAAAAATGTGAATTGTAACCTTGATAAGAAAAATAACTCTCTTAAATAATTTGCTTTGAAAATAACAATAACATTGGTTTTTCTTTTAACAGTGCACAGCTTGTGTCTTAATGTCCTGCTTTTTTTTTTTTTTTTTTTTTTTTTTTTTTTTTTTTTTTTTTTTTTTTAGTTTCCTATTTTAGAGTTTTTTTAAGTTTAAACTGCACACCTGCAAATTATCATTTTAAAGATATTTAGGTACAGGATCTTTCTAATCTCAATCATTTTTGGCTATAAAAAGATTCTCATTTTTGTGTTAGGTGTTAAGAATTTGTTGCAAACAGATGACAATGAAGAAAAGAATAGCTGTTGTTACTTTGCATTTAAAAACATTATCATATCAAGCAGTTCAAGCCGCATTTGAGCGTAAATTTAGAAAACGTACTTCCTCGAGAGCGAATATTTTCCTATCTAATTGCTAATTTATGTGAGCACCTTCGAATAGGTGCAATTGGGTTATAATCACTAGTTTCCTAAGCAATCTGCACTGCATCTTGCTGATGTTATTGTCTGCTTGAATGTTTCTCTGCTATGCATCCTCTTCTGATAAATACATTAATTAAACAGCCAAATTTTTGCCCTTGTTCCAGTATTCCAAGTTTTAAAAATTTATACTCCAAGTTGTTTTGAACTTCATATGATAATCTTCTGAAGTTGTCGCAATGACAACTTTTCTTTCCTCTGTTGTTGTCATTCTGTAACCAGTTTTTGATACCTAAAACAGATATGAGAAATGCTGACAAAGCTCGAGAAAACTTAATTGGGACTTAATTGGGACTAACATGTATAAATAACGAAATTAAAAATATGAAATAGTTGTTAGTGAAATACTGAGATATTTATGACCCTAAGAAAAATAAAATTTAAAAAAAAAAAAGATTAATACAGTGGAACCTCGGTTCACGAATTAATTTGATCCTGAAGACCGTTTATTAGGCAAAAAGTTCTTAAACAGTTTTCGCCATAGGAATTAATTTAAAAGGGTTAGTCCATTCCTGGATGACAGATGATTGCTTACTTAAATCAGTGTATGTGCAATACTTTCTGCAAAAGACAATAATGCAAAACCAATGGAAATCATGAAATCTAAGATAAAAATGAAGGTAAACCCTAAATTAAACAGATAAAATACACGAAAATTTGATTTTACTACACCTACTCAAAGGAGAGTGGTCTGCATAAGCAGATAGTGATGAAGAAGAGAAAAGGAAGACATGTTATTGTTTAGAGACGAGAAGGTTCCGTTTATAAAAGCATCAGGTAACTGTTTTCATTGAGCATCTCTTGTTTTTATTTTTTTTTTCGCTCTTTCTGAGTGGCATTCAGTCACTGGCCTCTTTATTCAGAATTTGTCTAGTCTAATTTCTTCTTGTCTGCATTTTAAAATGTTTCTAAAGCGAGACATGGCATTGTCATTGAACATGCTTATGCTCTGTGGCATGTTACTGCTTCATCATTCTGGACCACATGATTACTTATTTAAACTTGGCAAAACATTGTACTTCTACAATCCAAGTCTTGTTCACAAGTACCGAATCCAAAACCCAATGAAAATAATTAAGTATATAAAAAAAATATTGTTTTCTTACATAGAAACATCCAATAAGTCTTATTAGAAGTTCAAAACAGCGTAATCAATGTTAATTTTAGAATTTGCTCTGCCAGTTTTGGAAGTCTTATTACAGAATCTTCTTCAGCTGCTAGACTGAAAATGACAAAAGACAAGCTTGTGCTTACAGGATACCGGAAAAAATAGTAAACTAGAAAATTCGAGAAAGTTCCAACAAAAACTGAAAGCATAGCTTGTGACACCATCTATTAATGAAAAAGGAAACCAATTATAAAATAATTTCTTTAAAAGCTGAGGGTAAATTTGGATTGGAATTTAGATCTTTGACTAATTAGAACTGATTTTATGAATGTGAAATGCCTGTAGAAAATATAGTTCGCCAATGGAAGATATTATTTGATTAATTTTAGTTGAAGAAAAAAGGAAAATATAATTTCTGTTCTCTGCCTAGCCGCCCAACCAAGATAGTGGTTAGTGTCTATGTTTACCATACCGAAGAGCCCAGGTTCGAATCCCGGAAAAGGCATGGATGGGAAGAGGGGTAGAAGACCCTTGAACCCATATCCCAAGGTCGGCTGTCAACTATATGGTGCTCAAGGCTTGCCAAGGACAAGCACATCTGATTCTTTGTCACGATAAATGTTGTAGGCTTGTGTTGACCATTGTCACACAAGTGATGTTGTTAGTAACAACAAATTTCTGCATTCTTTTTTCTAACACTGGGGCGTAGCTAAAGAAGGGCAAGGGGGAACATCTGTCTCCGGGTGCAGCATTCAGGGGGCGCCAAACTGATGTTACAGATTTTTAGAATGAATATTTTTCCATTCTTGCTAAACAAGAGGGGCGCGAGATCTTCAGTTGTTTTCGGGCTCTGAAAATCCTAGCTATAGCTGTGTCCTAACATATGCTTCATATTCTTTAATACGAAAATTTTAAGGCTCTCTTTAGCTGACCTAT